CGCGCCCATGGCTCGGTGGGGACGGGTGGACCCCGGGCAGCCTGCTGTCACCTGCCGAGCTGCGGGAGCAAGAGATCTAGGGGAAGGTTGAAGTGTTCGCTGCCCGCGCGTTCTCTTCGCTGCGGCTGCTGTGTGAGAAAACGGCTGTGGGTGTTCTCGGGCCCTTGCATCACCGATGGTAATTACAGAAGACTATTTCTGCTGTTCGGGAGTATCCAGAGGAAGAAACTAGAGACTTCTTTCGAATCGGGATTGCCTTTCGGAGTTTGGGGTTTAAGAAACGAGCGAGAACAGTGGTGGTGTAAAATGTGATCGGACGTTGGCAGGACTAAGGGCGCACGAATAGTGCTCGATTTTACTTGCGACTTTTCTATAAAGATGTCCTGAGAGACAGAGCCCGTCTATTTCAGCTCAGTAAATCTAGAGCAGAGAATTGGCTTCGGAGTTGCTTGATAAAGGTGTATTTTTCTCGTCCCTGTTTTCTGAAGGAAGTTAGCTCTGTGTGCAGTCAGCTACAGATTAATCTTGTCTTGTAAAAATGCAGTTCAGTTAGTGCTCGGCTCTCTTGAAGATCTGAGTCTTATTTGAAAACACCCATGAACCTTCAGGGCTGAAGAAGTGGGCTGCAATTGTTCTGTTTATTTCTCTACTTTCTGAGGAGGCAAAAGCCCCAGCGCTAACCTCTTGGCCTTAGGCGTACTTTGGAAATATAAAATGCCTTCAGGGTGATTGCAGACATAAAGCCTCTTGGAAAATATTTATTTTTTGATGCTTGTATCAATGTAGGATGGGAGAAGATGGAAAGCTTGAAAAACTAGCATTACAACTGTTGAGCGAGCCAACTGCTGTCACAATCTTCTGGAAGTAGCTATTAGGCTATTAATAATAGCTCAGCCATACACCAGAGAATCTCAGCAGGGTTCCGTACCACCACTGGACTCAGGACCCAAAGGCTTGGAGAATACCATGTTGTGTGTTTATCTTTCTTTGGTCAGAACTTGATTTATGGAGATATGTCTTCTTTTTTTTAAATTTCAATTTTTAATAAGCCTGCCTCAGATGTACGCCCTTAGAATTGCCTTCATGGTACAAGTTAAAGGACATGGGCTCCGAATCAGCTCTGTCTGCTGAGGGCAGACGAAGTTTTCCCTCCCCTTTTCAAAGATGTTCTCCTTTTCCTCCTTTCTTCCATTCTTTCTTTCTTCCTTTACTTTTTTCTTTCTTTTTTTTCCTGTCATTTTTTTGTTCTTCCTAAATCTATATCTGTTTTTGAAGGATTTGGGTGACTGCCAAGCCCTAACCTTTGCTGGTTACTTGAAAAGATAATCAGACTTTCTACACTCACTTTTAGAAAAGATAGGGTCACCTCTAGGCCATTTCCATATTTCACTCGTGTGTTGCAATGAGAACCGAGCCTCGAATTCTGCTTGTCAGGACAGCCGTCATTCAGGGACGTTCCAGACACCTCCATTCTTTCCCCTTCACACACACACACAAAGGGCTGCTTCGCCTCGCTAAAGTCAATGCTCCACTTTTCCCTCTCTGTTGACTTACTAAATAGTACCAGCTGAGCGAGCAGTTGTTGAGACTGTTGACATTTCCAGTTTTTGGAATCGGTAATGTTTGCTTGAATCATTTAAATTAAATCTCCTATAAAGCGTCGCTAAAGCCACCATTGATTTTCCGGAATTTTCCCACAAACTGCACTGTTAACATGACATAGTCCTTGCCTGATGTGAAAAACTAGTAAAGATTTTATTTATTGTGGGGCGGGGGAGCACTAGGGATTAATCCCAGGAAGCCCTGGACTCTGGGGAGAGAGATCACATGTTCAACCCCTGGGCTGTGCCGTCAAATCCTAAAGCCTAGAAAAGATTTTCTTTTCCACACTTTATGTATGTTATTGTATAGGTTTGTGTTTGTGCTACACACACACACACGCACACACACACACACACACACACACAAGTCAGAGGACAGGTTTTGGCAAGTTCCCTCTCTTCTTCAACCATGTGGGTCTTGGAGATGTAACTTGTGTTCCTTCACCAGCCAAACCATGTCATCAGCTAAGGAAGATTAATTGATTAATTTGTTTGGTGTGCATGTGTGTGTGTATATATGTGTGTGCGCACATGCGCACACTTGTGTGTGTCTGCATGTGTGTGTATGTTTGAAAATCAGAGAACAACATGCAGGAATCTGTTCTCTCTTTCCACTCTGTAGGTCCCAGGGATAGAACTTGAAGCCTTCAGACTTATGAGCGCGTGCCTCTACTGCCCACGCCATCTTACCGGGGCCCATGTAAAGATTTTTAAATCGGATTTGTTTATTCTTTTTTTTTTTTTTTAAGAAGGCTGATTTTCATTTGATGGCTTCATTTGTTGGAGGTTGTATTTATCTCTAAGATAAGCAGTTCACTCCCATGCCAGAAAATTATGCTTCTTTATTGATTTATAGTCCCCTTTGGCTACATTCCAGGCTCCTTCTTCTAGTAACAGTAGAGTCTTCTAACTTTCTCTTATACCCTGAAGGATTAAGTGAAATGTTCCTTTTGCTTTCGGTCCCTTCTTCCTGTCCCTGTTTCTCGGAAGGAGCTGTTTTAAGTCATCGCATTGGCGGGGGAAGGGGGAAGTCACGTGTGGCAGCATGAGGAGCCCTGTGTGGGCTTGGGAAGAGGGCGCTAGCCTGAGTGTGTTTGAAATGCATCCACACCTTTCCATGCCTTGCTGGGTCCCTGTGTGCCCTGCTGTAGGATATGTGCACAGCCGTGTCTTCTTGCGGGTATTTGTGGGTTTTGGCAAATCACATTCTCACAGGGTCTCTGGCGGTGGTCCTTGGGTGTGCCCTGCCTTCTGAACGTGTCTTCATTTGACTTATTGCAGTCATTGATGTAGCTCACAGGCCATGAGACAATTTAAAGCATGCCTTTAAAGGAAGCATTTTGTAAATCAAAATTTGTAAAACTTAATTTTCTGAATGTTTTTATTTATTTCAAAAATACCTTTAAGAGGAGTGTGGACACCATTTCATTTATTTATTGAGTTTTCTTCAGGCAGGTCTTCAAATGGTGTGGGTATTTAATTCATTATAACGCAGGAGGTGGAACCCAGTGCCTTGCCCATGCTAGGCAGTTGTCGTGCCACTGAGCTGCCCCCACCTGTAATCACCTCCTGGCACGGGGCTGCGTTCCTATTTTAGAACTGTCAAAGAACTGTTTGTTCAGTTTTGGTTTTTGTTGGTTTTATTTTTTTTTTAACGACTTGTAAATTGTCTTGCTGTGGGAAGTGTGGATTTAACTTTGAGTTTCTTCCTCTGAAGCAAAAGGCCAGTGCTGGTCCTTCAGAACGAGGCCCTTTATCCGCAGCGGCGCTCGTATACCAGCGAGGATGAGGCCTGGAAGTCTTTCCTGGAAAACCCTCTCACTGCGGCCACCAAGGCCATGATGAGCATCAACGGGGATGAAGACAGCGCAGCCGCGCTGGGCCTGCTCTATGACTACTACAAGGTGGGTCACCGGCTCTGGACAGCCGAGCGGGCATGGCGCTCCCAGACGCACCTGATTCAGCAGCCTGTAAAACAGTCCTTTGCCGAATGTCGGGCTGATTGCTTCTGTAGTGGCTTATAAATAGTTTAATGAGCACTCGGGCTTTCTGTGGTTCAAAGCCGAGCATCTGCGATCATAGAATCAAAGGGTGGTTCTAATATGGCCGCTCTGGCCCTAGCTGAAGGAGACGCTGCTGTAAACGAGGTAGTAGCCACGTCCCCCGCAAACTTGCTTCCTGGTACTGTGAAAAGGGGCTGCCGGCTGATGCAGCTCTCCCCTGCCGGGTTGTTAGGGCAATTGCCATTTCTGTAACTGCTACCACAAAGCCTTAGGATTGGTTGGGGAAAATACACACATTTTCATTTCTGGGGCCTCATTCTAAAATGAGAACACGTTTATCTTGTCTATCTCCAGACAGTTGAGTTAGCCTTAACTGTCATGTGTACTGTGTATGAGTTTCTACCTCACAGAGTCCTAGTAATTCAGCTGCCACTCACTGACGACCTGTGTCACACTGGACAGCCTGTGTGTCACTTTGACCCTCAGGCCCAGCAACTGGGATGTATTCATTTAGGGTTCCAGCCCAGTTCCTGCCACAGACTGTCCTCTCTGGTGCTGGATTGTGACCTGTGTCTGCTGTCTCCCTGGCTTGACCCATGGCAGTTGCTCAGGGATGGCCCTTTGAGTGTCTTGGATGGGAGCATCCTCTGTTGTATCACTTAATAACTAGCAATGCTTTCAGCATGGATTGCTAATAAATCCAACAAAACTTAGTTTCGTGTTACGTGTATATGTACGGGGATGTATGGGAGAGTGTCTGCAAATGAATGCAGGTGCCCAGAGAGGCCAGAAGAGGGAGAGGGATCCGCTGAAGCTGAAGTTATGGGGTGGCTGTGAACTGTCTGATGTGAGTGCTGGAATCCAGACTCCTGTGCTAGGGCAGTGTGCACTCTTAACCCCAGCCATCTCCCAAGCCCCTGTATCTTGTTGTTAGTGGTGAGATATGGAAGAGTTCTTGCACTGCAGATATCTCGCCCCCGCACGCATCTCAGCAACATTTGTGTGCCCGTTTGGACCACGTCTCCGGTGGGGCAGTGTCACAGTGTGCCCAGTGTTGTTTGTCTGCCTTTTGATTTTGGAGCAAAGAAACGGAGAGTTATAAAAGGAATAGAATGGGCCGAAGAGAAAGCTCAGTGTTAAAATAGCACTGACTGCTCTTCCAGAGGACCTGGGTTCAGTTCCCAGCACCCACACGGTGTCTCACAGCTGTCCGTAACTCCAGTTCCAAGGCATCCGGTGTCCTCTTCTGACCATGGGCACCATTCACTCATTTGGTACACTCATTTGGAGTACTCATTTGGTACTCAATGTAGGTACAGGCAAAACATTCATACACGTAAAATAAAGCACATATTTAAAATTTCTTAAGTAAAGGAGAAAGAAATCATTACTCCATGACAAACTGAGTCTGTGATGCCCCAGTCTGTTCGCAGTAGCTCCACCTCTGCAGTGGTGACCAGGCTCTTAGCGGAGCAGATTGGTGCTCAGCAGATGAGATAATCAGGAGATGAGATAAAGGCTGCTCCTTCAGGTGAAGGCTTCTCCCCTGGATAAGGACTGAATCCCTTTCCTTGGTGTTGTGTTAACGCTTTAGGTTCCCAGAGAGCGCAGGTCATCCACAGCAAAGCCAGAGGGGGAGCACCCGGAACCAGAGCACAGCAAAAGGTGAGTGCGGCAGCTGGGAGAGACGTGGAGAGTAACTGCTGTCTCAGAGTTAGAGCCTGTTGCTCTGAGAAGTGACTGTTGTGCAGGCAGCCTTCCCTTTCCGAGAAAACCAGCATCAAGCTCTTCTCCTCCAGAGGGATGGTTTTAGTAAAGCCTGACGTGTTTGTTCATCTAGGTTGAGACCCTCTAAAGGGGATGGCACGGGGATCAGAGTCTAAAAACCACCTGGGTGTGGTGGCACATACCTGTAACCCAGGACCTGGGAGGCAGAAGCAGGAGGCTTGGGAGTCCCAGCTAGCCTGGGCTCTTGTGCAAGCCCATGTCAAACAAAGCCACCCTTGGGATGCAGCTTAGTGATGGAACACTTGCCTAGCATGGACAAGGTCCTGGGTTCAATCCCCACATCTGCATAAATTAACAAAACAAAGCAAAAAAAAAAGAAAAGGTATATACCAATGACTCTGGAATAGTTGCCCTAGTAAGACTTAGTGAATTAATGTCCAAACTCCTCTTGAAGGCATTTTAGGTTAAAACTTTGGTAAATTAATTACAACTCAATCTTATGGCCACGAAACATTTTAAAAGACATATTTTACATTTATTTATCTTATTTGTGTGCATGCACATGTTGATGCATGCCACGGTGCATGCCTGGCAGAGGCTAGCTTAAGAAAGGTCCCCTCTTGCTACTCTGTGGCTTCCAGGTATCGCACTCAAGTCGTCAGACTTGGTGGCAAGCACCTTTACCCACTGAGCCATCTTGTTGGTCTAAAAATAGCTTTTAGATTGACCCTTCTTTTATTAGTAATAAAAAGTAAAACAGCCGGGCATGGTAGCATATGCCTGTAATCCTCGGGAGCTTGAAACAGGAGTTCAAGGCCAGCCTAGGCTGTGGTAGCCAGGTTCCCTCCTCAGGGGAAGGGAACAGAACCTGATTTAAGGACTGAGAAACAGTTCATATTTCACACGCGTGGTAATTATGTCTTTACCGTGACTGTGGTTCCGCTTGCAGATGTTTTTGGATGTGCGCATTTATGACACGTGATTTGTTTCATAAATGTTTTCCATATTTTGATCTAAAACTTGATAATTTTTTGGAACGCAGCTTATTTATAGATTCATTTTACTATTTATTATAAAATGGTAGAAGCTGGCATGTAGTGTTCATCCTTGGAACCAGGTGAAAAAGGTGAAGGGAGAGAACGCTCCATAGAGTTGACTTCTGACCTCAGCAGGCTGCCATATATGTCTCTCTCTCTCTCTCTCTCTCTCTCTCTCTCACACACACACACACACACACACACACACACACACATACACATGTGTACACATACTCAAAAATCATTTTTTAAAAACTATTCATATTACCTATATATTAAACCACAGTTAATTTTATATAAAATATCTATTGTTAGTATGATGATGAGTTTTCCTTGGGGAAGCCAGATAGCATCAGTATTAGAAAGTGAAGCTTGCAGCACTTACTTGTGAGTGTCTGTGTGTCCCCTGAACTCCACCCCCTGAACTCCACCCCCAGCACCAATGTGAGAGGACGGATGCCCACTGTTGTATCAGTTTGTTTGTCCAGACAAACCTACCGGGGCACAGGAAATCTCAGTTGAGGAATTGCTTCCAGCAGATTGGCTCATGGGCACATCTAAGGGGCATTTTCTCCGTTGCTGATTGATGTCGGAGGGCCCAGCCCACTGTGAGCGGGGCTGTCCCTAGGCAGGTAGCTGAACAAGAGGGACAAGCCAGTAAGCAGTGTTCTTCCATAGTCCCCTTGGGCTTCTGCCATGGTGTCCCCTGATGATGAGCTGTGATCTGCAAGTCCTTCCTCCCCAAGTTGCTTTTGGTCATAGTGTTCTATCACAGCTACAGAGACACAAGGCTAGGACAAATTGTTTTTTCTTTTCACAGATAAGAATGGAGCCCGAGAGACAAAATAGCTTGCTCAAGTGAGTCTATGGACTCACAGTGTCAGGTTTTATAATAAAATATGAGGATTCACATTAGAATTACCGGGAGGAGCACTCTGAGTGTGCTTTTGCATTGTTTTTTTTTTTAATTTATTTTATGTGTGTTAGTGTTAAGGTGTCAGATCCCTCAGAACTGGAGTTACAGACTGTTGTGAGCTGCACCGTGGGTTCTGGGAACTGAACCCAGGTTCTCTGGAAGGACATCCAGATCTCTTACCCACTGAGCATCTATCCAGGATAGCCCCTGTGTGTAACCTAGGCTGGCCTCGAACTTGTAATCCTCCTGCCTCCACCTCCTTCAGCAAATCCTACCGGCCCGTGCTACCACTACCAGCTGCTTTGGATTTTGCTTGAAGCTGTGAGGTCTTCGCCAGGAAGGGGTCCTTTCTCCTTTTCCTGCTGAGCTGGCTTCTGCCAAGGGTATTGCTGCTGTGAGGAGCCCAGACCATCAGAGCGATGAGTCATCTATATGGAGCATGTGCTCCGCGTGCTTGAATCCCTGGTTGGAGCCCTATAACCTGCTCCTCCCAAATCCTCAAAGCCCCGCATCAGCACCAAGGTTGAACATACAACGTCCTTTCTCCTTTCTTGAAGAAACAACATACCAAATGTGACGGAGCAGCCCCTCATTTCTGCTGGAGAAAACAGGGTGCAAGTGCTGAAGAACGTGCCCTTCAACATTGTCCTCCCCCACGGCAACCAGCTGGGCACTGATAAGAGAGGCCACCTGACAGCTCCCGATACTACAGTCACTGTCTCCATAGCAACCATGCCTACCCACTCCATCAAGACAGAAATCCAGCCTCACGGCTTTACTGTGGGAATCCCCCCGACGGTGTATCATCCTGAGCCCACCGAGCGTGTAGTGGTTTTCGACCGGAGCCTCAACACTGACCAGTTCAGCTCTGGCGCTCAACCACCCAATGCTCAGCGGAGGACTCCAGACTCCACCTTCTCGGAGACCTTCAAGGAGGGCGTTCAGGAGGTACAAAAGACAAAAACATCTTCCTAAGACAGCGGAGTGTTTGTCTAAGTATTGGGTTCCACCTTTTCCTGGTTATGTAAGCTTGAAACTTAGCCCAGAGTGAGTGGATCAGGAATAAAAAGATTTTTTTTTTTTAAGAGAAAGGCCCGTGGGTATAATTTGTAAGCTAAACCTACAAATCCAAAAATTATCATCAAGGGCACATGGGTAATCTTACCAACAGCTGAGTTAACAATTATGGTTTCTGCTAAGAGATTTGCTGGAGAGAGAGAGAGAGGAAGCCTGTGTGTAATCTCCCCCAGACCACAACTGCATTCACATAGCTTTCTTCAGCTCGCATCCTAGACCCAGGCGAGCTCCTGAAGCTCGCCTGGCGTGGTAGCCCTGGAGTGTCTCCACTGGGCGCTGCTTATTTCGCCGCCCAATCCAGAGCTGGAGGTGGTCTTCGGGACGCTCTATGAGTTCCAGGGAGCTGGAAGGCGTGCTGACATCACTTGGGGGGGTTGAAAGCGGGTCTTACTGCCCCGGAGAGTCTTCTAGGGGTAGAAACGGACACTTTCCAGGAAAGGGTAGTAGGCTTGCACAGCCCCGGTGCAAACTTGACTCTTGGCCCTTGTGTTTTGGCTGAAGATTCTAGACTCTGAACATGTATTGTGTGGGAGAGATAAGGAAAGGGACAGTGTGTGTGTGTGTGTGTGTGTGTGTGTGTGTATGTCTGCCTGTGATCATTCCCATGAATGGTATATACAATTAGATAGTTACTTTTTATTATTTATTTATTGGTTTTTCAAAACAGGGTTCCTCTGTGTAGCCCTGGCTGCCCTGGAACTCACTCTGTAGACCAGGCTGGCCTCGAACTCAGAGATCCACCTGCCTCTGCCTCCCCAGTGCTGGGATTCAAGGTGTAAGCCACCACCACCACCAGACTCATATTTTTATAGCTTTTTTATTAGTGTATTTTTATACTTTTTATAACTTTCATTAATTTAAATTTTTCTATAGATTCAAACTCTTATTTTGAAACGCACCTCAAAAGAGTTGTGGGTGACCTTACACACACACCTCATCCATACCAGACCTTGGTCGTTAGTAACAATGATAACAGTTAAATGGTCGTGCCTCACTGCGTTGATATTTCAGGTTTTCTTCCCTTCGGACCTCAGTCTCCGGATGCCGGGCATGAACTCGGAGGACTATGTGTTTGACAATGTTTCTGGGTAATAGTTGCCTTCTTACCTGACCTTAGATTCTCAGTCTCTGTGATCACTTCTCTTTTTGGTGCGTTGGTCCTGACAAATCTGAGGTGGCTCTGGCGTGCTTTTGCCTTCCTCTGACTCCGCCAACTGTGGCCTTACCTTGGTAGGCAGCTTTTCCTGTAATGATGCCCTGCGGGACTCTGGTTTTCGACTTTCTCGGTTCCTGGTGTTGGTGCTTTCCCTTCCCTGACTCCCTTCCGTGGTGACGTGGGCTGGACTCTGAAGGAGATAGGGATGAAGGTAAATCACTGGCTGGCTGTTCCCTAAAGTGTGCAGAGAGATGACAGTTCAGGGGTGAATAAGTCGACAAAGGACTTCATTATCCTTGTTAATGATAAAATAAACAAGTGTAACTTTCCCAACCTGGCAGCTTGTTTTTAGCTTAGCAAAATTACACCCTACTCTGGAAACTGGAGCATTTTCTAGGTTCATGAGACGTATACAAACACCTCAAGATTGTTTCAAAGTTTAGAATTTCATTTTTTATTTTGTGTCTAACTGCATCTTATTTTGCAGTTAAAAAAAAAAGAAAGAAAGAAAGAAAAATACCAAGGCCAGTGAGGTGGCTCAGTGGGTAAAGGTGCTTGCCACCAAGCCTGATGGTCCTATCATATGGGTTCAATCCCAGGAGACCACAAGATGGAAGTAGGGAACCTCCACATACATACTAAATAGGTACATAAATGAATGTAAGGGCTTTGGTTTTCTGGATCTACGGGATTTACACTTCCTTTATAAGTATATCCCAGGGTGCAAGGATCACAAACTCACAGACATTACAGTTTGGGATAGGATTTCCAAGTGTTCCCTGCAATATGTTAGGTAGGAAATGTTTTAGGCTCTGTGAACTAGACAGCCTCACTAGTTTTGTGACTAGCCAATTTAGCTGTTGGAATGGAAAAGGGATCTGCAGATAAGGCATAAGTTGGTGGCGCGGCTACGTTCTAATAAAACTTTATTTAAAAGCATAGGTGTAATTGACTGACTGACCTCCAGCCTAGGAAGGTTCTGAGTGGTTGTGTAAAGTAATAGGAGACCAGGCAATCATGGAGTACCTGTCTGGGTGCAGGTGGAAGCTACAGAGAGTGTTGGCAGACACGTGACCCAGTGCTGTGCTCCCAGCCCGTTTGCAACCTCTGCTCCATAAAGACCAGTTTGGCAGCAAGCCCCAGGAGGTTCCTGCCTCCACCTGTCCAGTTCCTGATGTCATTTGTAGCACAAGCATCCAAATGTCTAGTTGTTGACATTACATCATAGAACATCTAATTGGTGTTTCGTAGCCTACTGTGTGAGGGTTTCTGGTCACTGAACGCTTGTGTTTAGGATTCTATTTACCAATAAAAGGGGACAAGTGCTGCTTTTAACATGGCGTAGTCAGCTGGATGTTTGCTGGTGCTCTTCCATCTCAGTAATCCCCTACACACACACACACACACACACACACTTCAGGACTAAGGTTTACCAGAAGCTTCCAAGAGACTGGCCCAGAAACCTGTTGCTTCTTTGTCCTGTAGGAACAACTTTGAGTACACCCTAGAAGCCTCCAAGTCACTGCGGCAGAAGCAAGGGGACAGCACCATGACATACCTGAACAAAGGCCAGTTCTACCCTGTCACCTTGAAGGAAGTGAGCAGCAATGAAGGGATCCACCACCCGATCAGCAAAGTTCGAGTAAGTTCTGTGCCTGACTGGGTTCTCCCTAGATCCTAATACTTCAGGCCCTTGAAACTGAATACAGGCCTGAAGGGGCCAGAGCTTGTGGGGTGGTTTTTTTTTTTTTAAGGATTATTTTTACTTTAATTCCTGTGTCTCTGTGAGTGTTTGTGTCTGTTAGAGATGCCCTTGGAGGCCTCACAGGGCTGTTGTAAGAGGCCTGATGTGGGTGCTGGGGACAGAACTCAGGTCCTGTGGGAGAGCAAGTACTCTTAACCACTGGGCCATCTCTCTAGCCCTCCACAGTGTTTCTTTCAGCCTTAACTCTCAACTCTAATAACTGACTTTCCCTGAAAGTCCCCTTGGTGACCTTACGCTGTGCCACATTCTCATTGCCAGAGCGTGATCATGGTGGTTTTTGCTGAAGACAAAAGCAGGGAAGACCAGTTAAGACACTGGAAGTATTGGCACTCCCGGCAGCACACGGCCAAGCAGAGGTGCATTGACATCGGTGAGTGACCAGAAACCCACCTTCGCTCTCGGAGGCTCGAGTACCCAATCTGCCAAGTCCAATTATTTTTGGCAGTGATGAACTTCCTGCCGAAAGCTTTTGAATTTTGATGCCAGCCACAAATGTGTTCCAGGCAGTGTCCTGTGCCTCCTGGAATTAGGACTCCGTCCTCACTTCCTGCTCGGGGCCTGTGCTCAGGCAATAGCCATTCCAACCATGTGACTGGACCCAGGCACTTTAGTCAGCTAACACAGAGTGTCCGCTTTCAGCCTCTATTTCTTCACTCTGCTGTGCTGGGAGTGGAACCTGGGACTGTACACATGCTAGACAAGCATCCAGCCACCAAGCAATATCCCCCCACTCAGTCTGCACATTTGGGGAGCAGTAATGCCTTCTTTAGGAGTTGCTGGAGTTTATATAGAGATAATGATAAGAATTCCAAATTTCCATAAGGAAATCACTTCTCCAGCTATGCCCTGAACTAGGTTGCTGATCTCGCTGGTCTGTGATAACCCAGTGGTAGATACCCAGGGTATGGCCCTACAAAGTGTCCCCTTCCGGTTTCCAGTTTCACACAATGCCACCATCCACCCCCAGGTGGCCATCCATCTGCGGCTCCTGTTTCCTTATCTTCTGAAGTTCTTGAACTCTCTTTTCTGTAAGGATCAGAAGAGCTGGGGCTGGGGACATGGCTCAGTGGTTAAAAGCACTTGCTACTCTTCCAGAGGACTTGGGTTCAATTCCCAGCACCCACATGACAGCTCACAACTGCCTGTAACTCCAGTCCCAGGGTATCTAACAACCTCATGCAAATATACATGCTGACAAAAAAAAAATGAATGACATGAAATAAAAATAAATAATTAAAAAATAACAGAAGAACTGAGTTCTCTCTTTGTTGGGACAAGATCTTTCAGTCTAGTTCATGCTGGTCTCAAACTCATTGCATATCCCAAACTGCCCTTGAATTCACGCCAAAATCTTCCTGTTTCACCTCCCAATTTCTAGGATGATAGGCATGTCCCTCCATACCCAGCTTAGAAGAACTGAGTTCTAACCTTGGTTCCACAGATCAATTTTGGGGCCTTAAGACCATTGCTTAAGCTTTTTAGACTTATACTCCTAATTTTGACCCAATGATATGGAAATAACTATATCTAAGCTTATCTCTTAAAAAAAAAAGTGTCCTGGGATTATTTTTTCTCCTGTATTTTGAAATTTCTTTCAACCCAACAAAATGCTTATTTAAATCGTCCAGAGGATAATGCCAGAAATTGATCATTCTTGGCCTGCTCTGATCTCATGTTGACACTAACAGCATGGCTTTCTTTTTTCTCATCCACTGCTCCATGTAGCCGACTATAAGGAAAGCTTCAACACCATCAGCAACATCGAAGAGATTGCTTACAACGCCATCTCCTTCACCTGGGACCTCAGTGATGAAGCGAAGGTATTTCATAATGTCCAGGGCGCGTCCCCTCCGGCTGTGTGAAAAGGGGGTGGAGCATCAGGATTTCACAGCTGCTCTGCTCTGTGTTGTAGCTGTCATGAAACTGCCCTTCCAGTCCCCACCCTCCTCCAAAGCCGTTTCTCTCGTCCCTCAGCGCGGGCTCTGGTGTGTGGAGCTGTCATCCGCAGGTGCCTCTTATCTGGCCCTCACTCACTTGGCCCACTTCCTCATTTGCAGAGTGGCACACACCCTGCCCTCCCTCTGTCCACAGTGACGTAGGGATGAGTGCAACAGCATCCTGTCAGCCAGGTGGGGTTCCCGCAGAAAGTAAATCCGAGTTACCAGCGGTGTCCTCTTCCCATTGTACCAAACACAGCCGTGGACGGTTCTTCTGCCTCATGCTTTTACAGTGCACAGTCACCTCTGATTCAGAAGGTCCCTTGGGCAATTTTCTGGGGTTTTTCAGGGGATTCTTCGGGACAAGGAAGCATATTCTTAGGCTATGTCTCCCTTCCCATGGCATTCTCTCCATTTGCTTCGTTAAATTATTAGAGTTTTGCCGGGTGGTGGTGGTGCACAACTTTAATCTCATCACGTGGGAGGCAGAGGCAGTCTGATCTCTGAATTCGAGGTCAACTTGGTCTACAGAATGAGTTCCAGGAGAGCCAGGGCTACACAGGGAAACCCTGTCTTAGAAAAACAAAAGCAAAAAAATATAGAGTTCTGGTGTCTTGTTACTTTAAAAATCAGACTGAGCCCCAGAAACTCTTGGACAGGTGTTGGGGCAAGATCCATCACATGCTTTTGTTGCAAGATTAGTAATGCTTTTCTTCCAGGGTTCCCATGCACAGTCTGATCACCTTTCTGCCATTTTTCACCCTCTCCTTTTTATTCTTCTATTTATTCGGCAAGAATTTTAGTCCTTATTGAGAGTGTAGCCCTTATAAAGCATGCCTGAGACTCTGATTTGATCCCCAGCATCTCGTGCCTGCTCCCTCTCAAAACAAGAATTTTTTAAATTCATGCGACAAGATATGACATTAGAAGCTTAGAGTGAGTCACCAGGGCTTCAGCTTCTGTTGTTTAAAGTTGCTTTTAAAAATCAAATCATGTGGCTGGGTGTAGTGGCTCACGCCTTTACTTCTAGCACGTAGGAGCCAAAGGCAAGTGGATCTCTGTGAGTTCCAAAAGACAGCCTGGTCTACATAGTGAGTTCCAGACCAGAACCAGAACTACATAATGAGACCTTATTGCGAGACAAAGATAAAAAAGAAGGAAGAAAGAAAAAAGGAATCAAATAATGAGGTTCTTGGGCGTCATGTGAAGTTAATTCTACTGTTCCCCTGTGCCATTGTGGTTGCATCTAAGGCAAAGGACATCCTTTCACTGTATGAGACAGTCAGCAAGGAACTCTGGGGGTGCTGGGTGGTGGTGGCGCACGCCTTTAATCCCAGCACTCGGGAGGCAGAGGCAGGCAGTTCTCTGAGTTCGAGGTCAGCCTGATCTACAAGAGCTAGTTCCAGGACAGGCTCCAAAGCTACACAGAGAAACCCTGTCCCGAAAAAAACAAAACGAAAAAACAAAACAAAAAAAACAAAAAAAAAAACAAAGAAAGAAACTCTGGGGGCTGTGACTGCTCTCCGGCCAGCCCCCACCACTATATCCAAATGTCATCCAGAGCTTGGTACTGGATTCAGTTTTAGAGGGGCTGCTGGGGGAAGCAAGCCCACCACTTCCTGTATGTTTGAATCAGTTATTTTGAAATTCAAAACTGCAATAGGACTTAGTGTGTGGTTTCTAAGAAGCCCGGTAAGAGGAGCTGGCCGTGCCCTCTGGGTGCTTCTGGTCTCAGGCTCCTGAGAAGTTCTTCCTGTTTCACACTGGGAACCTGTGGAGCAGCAGCAAAGAATACTGTACTGAGTTCTCTTCTGACTACATGTGACCTGTCAGTCCCTAGCTCAAGGGAGTTTGCTTTTGTTTTTTGTTTGTTTGTTTGTTTGTTTTTTGCACCTTTGCTACCTTTGAAAAAGCAAAAGGCTGCTGAGGCCAGTTCTGCCGCCTGTTGGGTGTGGCTGGCATTAATAAGCACTTGTCAGGGACTTGGAGATCTGAGCTGGAAGGACTTGCGTGTGGGCAGGGAGCTCTGGTTTTCTTTTTTGATGTGTCACTCAAGGAAGACTGAGAAAACAGGGCCAGCAGGCCTTGTGCTGCAGGCTGACAGGGGCCTGCACCTGAGGGAAGTGCTCCTGGAGAGTCTTAGCCCCGCTAACTAGCAAGCACGTGGAGGCAGAGCTGGCTTCCTCCTCTTACCCACTCAGGGTCTGCACACAGCCCTCTCCTACTCCCGGGACATGGTGGTGTGCCATTTCTTAATGAGGCTGCTCCCTTTTGAAGCTGATACCAAACATCAGTTTCAAGCGTATACTGGAATCCAGCAAGTCGATTCTTTGCTCTCCCCAGCCAAGTCTATGCTTCTGTTTTCATACTTAAAGTAATTAATGCCTTGAGGTAGCTAGAGTGAGTAGGTGTGCGTGCAGAATCCTGTAGAGCTGGGATGCTCTGTTTACTTACTTATTTTATGGAAGTATCTACCTTCTTAAATGGCTCCCTTTCTTGTTCTCACTGAGAAAAGTGAAAATTAAATTCTTTTTTAATGAATTCATTGTTTTCTTAGTAGTACTGAGGAATAAACCCAGGGCTTCATGCTTGCTAGGCAAGCGCTCTTCCAGCGAGCTATGCTTCAGCCCAGTATATGTTAATTCCCGATTCTCCCACGCAAACATCCAGGCTGGTGGGAGATGTATGGCATTGCTTTACTCTGACTTCTAATGGTAATATACATTCTTCGGCATGCCAGAGGGAGTAAATCCAGAATTCTGACCCAGTAGCTTTCTTTGAGTCCTGCCTGTTCGTAGGCTTCTGCCTCTTCATTTGATGTCACTGTTTTGAGAACAAACAGGTAAATCCTGAGTGTCTCGACTCAGGTGCTGCTGGAGAAGACACAGCTTCAGTCTGGCTGAGCTCCACTCAGTGCCTGTGCGCACGCAGATCATGGATGTAAGCAGGAACTAGCTGGTGCCAGAGAAGCCTTAAAAACCATTTGTTTTTAAAGCAGACTTAGAAGGTGAAGTTTGGAAACTAGGAGTGTCTGGGTGTGGTGGCACACGCCTTTTATAGCAGCACTCGGGGAGGCTGAGACAGGCAAGTCCAAGGCCAGCCAGTGCCGCTTGGTGAAAGACTTCTTTGGCAGTCAGACATCTTTGCCTTTTTAAAGACTTAGAAGTGTATGGACAGGTGACAGTTCAGCCCTTGACCTTTCTCTAGGCAGCAGTTCTGATTTCTTCCATAACTCCGTGTAGCCAGGCTGCGCTACTGAACATAGTTCAGCAGGAAGTGGCATCTGCATTTGGACCTTCAAAGACTGGCGAGGTGCTGAAGTGTAGGATTTGTGGGAAAGACAGGAGGGCTCTCACCCAGAGAAGAGGAGATGAGGAGCAGGCATACAACAGAGCGGGCGCACTCAGCTGCTTGAACATTCCCCCTGTGCCAGCAAGCTTCTTCTGCCCTACAGGAGCCAGACTTTATCCAGCTAGTGCCTGGCACTACTAGCAAGACTTGCCTCAAACTCCTAACTCCAGGTCCGGGGTCCCAGACTGTACCTCTAAGATCGCAGCTTACCCAGATCAAGGACTTTAGGGAAGTAGCTTACGGCCTTAAGTATAACATCACCATGTCGAGGGAAAATGGTGTGTGTTTACTTTACACGCGAAGTTTGGAGACAGAAGTTTCAGTCGGGGTCTCTATTCTGCAATAGTTAGAGCAAGAGGGAAGGACTGTGGATCTGCTGAGCTGCTGGAGTCCGCTTTTATCTGGGTTGGGTCATAAACCTGAGTGTTTACTGCAGCTCTGAGATTTGGCTAGTGATAGGGAGGGAGAAACCAAGAATAAGAAATAAATAGTGAGAAGTGAGAGGAAGAACTAAGTCCTGTATGCAACTGTCACTCGAGGGCTGTGCCGTCACTCGGGCTGTGCCGTCACTCGTGGGCTGTGCCGTCACTCGGGCTGTGCCGTCACTCGTGGGCTGTGCTGTGCTGGGGTGCCTTGCCATGCTCACACTCTATCCAGTGCCATGCAGCAGAGCTTAGCCCTCTCAGGACCTGCTGAAACCGGGCACCTAAGGAGCAATACTAGCCCCCGAAGTGGATAGCAAGTCCTCCGGGCTGGGTATTATTGTCTGAAGCTCTTGTCACTGGTAGGACAAGCATTGCAGACTCACTAATAGAAATTACTCTAGAGAACACTTTCACTGCTGAGAAATAAGTTTACTTTGGTTGCTAGTCAGCTGCAGAGGAATGGAAATTATAAACCGAAAAGCATCTGGCCCTGGACAGCGGCACCAAGGAAGGTCATCTAGCGGCAGCCTGGGAGTGGCTCTGGTCACAACCAACCAGACAGAATGGCAAAGAGGAAGATGGCAGCGGTTCAGAGCACGGCTCCAGATCTCTTTGTTGTTTGCTGGAGACGCGATCTTTGTGAATGTTAAATAAACTGTTTAAGGATGTGACAGACTCTGGGGACACAAAATCTCTAGCCAGTACGTTTCTCTAGTGCTAATCTAAATGGTCAGCCTACGTGGTAGAGTGTGTCGTGGTTGCATTCACGTGTCCCGCTCAGAAACTACCCATACCAAAGAGCTGGCTCCCTGTCAGTCATGGGCCAGGGCCCTGTGTGTGTGTGTGTGTGTGTGCGTGCGTGCATGCGTGCGTGCGTGCGTGTGTGTGTGTGTGTGAGTGTGTGAGAGAGAGACAGAGACAGAGAGACAGACACAGAGAGACAGAGACAGAGACAGAGAGGCGATATCAGGGAATGCTTACACAAAGCCTGGTATGCTCTGGGTCTTCCTACACCGCTCGCCTGCAAGGCCCCTGATACTCTCTGACATGCCATCAGACCTCCAGAAGGGGCTGCCTAGTCTCAGTGTGTCACCCATGAGACTGCAG